TTTCACACATACAAACATTTTTGCTAATACAAGATCTTTTGTGAAAATGTTTTATATCTGCGAACTCCTTCTGGTACCTCATCCAAAAAGGGACACAATTTTCAATATTTTTATCAGTCATAGCTTGCGAAACAAGTCAGATATTCTTAGGTACAAAATGAACATTATTAGTCAATTCCTTCGGAATCTGCTCTATAGAGAGTCAAACATTTGAACAACCGTAAGAGAAGTTCAAATATATTTATGTAATCGAATATTGGCTGAGGGTATAAATCTGTCGGCAACACCGACTGATACTTTTTACATTGGGTTTTATTTTATTTAATAATATTTTTTTGTCCACAACATAATACCTAAAATCACAAATTACTATTTCTGACAGCTAATATTTTAAATGTCACAATTGAAGTGTGAGTATAATACATTACCACTACTCGGGAGATTCTAGCTTCAAGAGGAATCTTCTTTAACAATACCACCAATATGCTAGTTTCTTCTTAAATCAATTAAGTACAAATAAATGTTTGCTTAACGAAACACCCTAATATTGTTACGTATTTAAATTTGCTTTATTTACCTTGTGGTTGCACCACTGCGTGTTAACTTATCCAATTTAATAAAATACTATAACTTTCGAAATATGTTTTATTGTGTGGGGCACTATTTTTGGTTTCAAGCACATTTTGGGCATATTTTCTTTTATTATTTCTCTCGCCGAGAAATAAAAAAAACATACACTCCTACAGACAAAAAATATATATTGAAGGTAAATAATAAAGGTAGTCAATGGGCATTTGTTTGTTTGTTTGCATTTTTTTTTTTTTTTTTTGTGGGGGATGTTTGCTAGCCGGTGTTCCTTTTTATGGATTCAGCTACTACAACGTGTATCCCGTTTTTATTTATTTTTCTCTGTTCTGTTCTTTTATTTTTTTTGGGAGTGGGGGTGGGTATCAGGGGCTAATACGAAATAAATTGTTTCTGTTGTCATTTTGTTGTTTATGGACAAACTTTTAACTGGTAATAACTTTTTTATGCCGTTGAAAGGTTTTATGAAAAGTGAAATATTATACTCGTTTATATTGAAAAAGGTAAAATAATAAAATATGTTTTGACATTGCAGACATTTCATTTGCGACAATAAAGTGGAATAAAAAATTTACATTTTTTATGAGTCTACCAAGTTTTGAAACGGGTGTAAGATGTATTTTAATATTGAAATTGTAAGGCTGTATAAGATTAGGTGCAAATCTTCGATGTGCCTGCCATTGACTGCAGCCTCAGTCTGCAGCCAAATCGCCTGTACCTTGAAATGTGTAGGTGGGATATAAGATTATATTTTCCGAAACTTGTTAAAGCTACAAATACCGAATCACAAGTATGGTTTATTTATATTATTTCGGACAATCTTAGAAATATCTAAAGAAGATCGGAGTCAGATGCCGCGTAACGTAACTTTAAATGGAAGCTATACCAAAAAAAATTATCTAAGTTTTTATAGCTATCAAGAATAAATACTACTTTTACGAATATTTAGAAGAATGAGGAATTTTATATAAGACCTAACTCATCAAAGAGAGCGGAAGAAGTGGACGGAAGAAAACAACAACATCAGCAGAAATGGTTCGAAAAATAAAAAAGCGACTTCATCGAAACCCGCGTCGCAGTGGCCGAAAAATGGCTCGTGATTTGTAAACAAATAGAATGATCGTGTTTACTTTCCAAAGAGGTCAGCTGAAAATGTGCACCCTCGGTTGGCCACCAGAACTTAAGCGCAGGCCATGGTGATGGTGTGGGCCGCCATAAAAGCCGGTGGTCGTTCTCCACTCGTATTAATCGACCGTGGCATCAGAATAAAAGCCGAATATTATCGCGAAAATATTCTGGAGGGTGTATTAAAGCCTTTGGCAGGCAAATATTTTGGCCGCAGACCTTGGACATTCCAACAAGACTCAGAACCATCGCACTCAGCACGCGCCACTCAAGAATGGTTACAAAATGAGATTCCTCGCTTCATTTCCAGCGCACAGAGGCCACCAAAACCTCCGGATACCAATCCGTTGGACTATTGTGTCTGGAGTACTTTGGAAAGCAAGGTTGGCACTAAAAAATACCAAAGTGCCGATCACCTCAAGCAAGCGCTTTGCCGGAAATGGGTCAAAATACCGCAGAATAACATTCGGGCAGCGTGTGACGGTTTCATTGGCCATTTGAAGGCTATAATTCGTGCCAAAGGTGAGCAATTCGAACAAATCTAAACATATTCTAAAATTTGATGCTATTTCCGACATTTTTGCTTTCATTCAATAAAATTTAAAAAAAAAAAGTAAATATTATGTCGTTTGACTTTGTTGCAGTTTTTTATCTCACCAGAACAGTCAATGTAAAATCGGATGAAGATGTATATCGAAGGTATATAAAAAGTCGAACGATCTCTATAAAATTTGACAGAGGTATTTCTGGGCCGTATCTGATGCCCGGTATCAAATATCATTCTTGTGGAGTGCATATTACGCATGTGAGGGACTTAAACACCAAATCGGACGAAAAATATATATGGGAGCTGTAGCTATATCTGAACCGATTTTCAAATTTTAAGTACATTTTTTTAGGCATAGGAACTATCTATAGATTAGAAGATTTTTTCATTTCTCCAAAACAGAGATTTCTCCATAGAGATTTTTCTAAATCTAAAATCAAGGAAACTCTTACACCTGTAATCTGTAATTAAACCAATTGATGTTTTAATTTTTATACCCTACACCACAAGGTGGTCAGGGTATTATGTCTTTGTGCATTTGTTTGTAACAGGCAAAAGGAAACGAGATAGACCCATAGTTCCCTTTGATGATCTGCATAGAATCACATTCTGAGTCGATTTATGCATGTCCATCCGTCTGTCCATGTATTTTTGTAAACAAAGTACAGTTCGCAATTATTGCCCTATCCAGATTAAATTTTGCACAAATCATTTGTTTGGCCCAAGGACGAACCCTATTGAAATTGGAGATAATCGGTCAAAATTTAGATATAGCTCCCATATATATCTTCGTCCGATTTGCCTTTTATTGTGCTCCAAACGTGTAATATCAGCCTGAATAGTATGGAATTTTGCACATACAACCAAATTAGGCCTGAAAATATGTATGCCAAATTTGATCGAAATCGGTTCAGATATAGTTATAGCTCCCATATATATTGTTCATCCGATTTGTTATTTTTGTCCTTCGTAGCCGTAATATGCACTCTGTAACAACAATATTTGGGGAAATATATCAAATACAGCCCAGAAATACATGTACCAAATTTTATCGAGATCGGTTCAGATTTGGAAATGACTCACATATATAACTTCGTCCGATTTACTTATTTTGTGCACCAAATGTCTTATATTTGTCCAAATGGGATGGAATTTGGCACTTAGGACCGAATTTAGTCTAGAAGCTAGTATGTTAAATTTGGTGAAGATCGGTTCAGATATAGCTATAGCTCCCATATATATTGTTCATCCGATTTGTTATATTTGTTACCCACAGCCCTAATATGCACTCCGTAACAACGATATTCAGGGAAATATATCAAATACAGCTCAGAAATATCTTTGCCAAATTTCATCGAAATCGGTTCCGATTTGGATATAGCTCCCATATATATCTTTATCCGATTTCAAATTAATTGTGCACCAAATGGGCAATACAAGTCCGAATGTAAAAGATACAAATGCTTCGGAATATTTAGTTCTTTGAACTTTAAATTATAATTAAAATCATAGCGTGTATGATTGAATTCTCCCATAAAAACTTTTAATTGGTATGTGGAGCTCTACTAAATTAGCAGAGTGGTGTAGGGTATCATAAAGTCGGCCCCGCCCGACTTTAAGACTTTCTTTACTGGTTAGTTTTAAATAAATAAAAATGTGGATCCTGTCCAATAAAGTTGTAAGAGATCTTAATCTACCGAGTAGGCGTTTTTTCTTCAAAAGCGATAATCGATAATAATAATTGATATATTATGAGGTCGACTCGAAGCCAGTGATATTGAATTTGAGATACGATCTGATTCAGATTTTTTAAAGCGAATTGACGTCAGCTCAAAATTTGTGAATTCATTTGAGGGAGTTTCTTTTTTTAAATTGTTTAACTTTTGGTATAGGCCAACTTGGCCCGAAGTAATTAAATTGCTTTACTGTAGCGGCATCCGTTGGACTTCCTAAGTTCACTAAAAGGTACAGATGCTTTGGCATATTTTTGAAGAAGTATAATATTTGGTTCAACCTCCTCGAAAAAAAATGTCTAATCTAGGTTCAGCTCCCATGTACAATTATTAATATTATTATAACCCTAGCAAATGTTCCCAACATTATGGGCTATAATTTTCTTATTCCAATTTTGAAACCAAATTCGTATGAGACCATAGCCACATTTTCTAAAATATTTGACAATTTTCAACCGTCTAATTTGCAATTAAATTAAATACAATTAAAATTTTTACACCACCCAGGAGTTGTCTTTAAAGTTCTTGATAATAATATATTATTTAAAATATTATTTAGTTTTATATATTGAACAAATTAGAGATATAATTTCATATAAAATACTCTCTCATGTCAAATTTGGCTATTCTTGACCAGTTCAAGACTCAGAGGAATTTGTAACGTCAGTTCTTAATTTTTCACTTTTTTTCAGAATATGAAATGTTAATACAATTTATGCAAAAGTGGATTGATTGCCGACTTCTTGAACTGCTTGACTTAAGATTTAATTTTTTTCACTGGCAATATCACATTTCCTCTTTGAACAACGTTACTTCAAAAAGCATAGCATACTTATGGGCTCTAGGTTTAAAGCCAACTCTTTAAATGCACTGTCACTTAATTTATAAATATATATATATTTTCTCATCAAACGATTTTAAACACCATTATTTTCTTTGAATTTAATTTGTTTTCCAATTAAATTTTCTCAACAGAATTATTTCCATTTCATTTATTTTTCAATAATTACTTTTGAGTACGAGCTTTAATTTTCCATTCGATGAAATTTCGTTTCACTTCAAAAAAAAATTTCACTTCAGTCACTGTTACTGTTGCTGTTGTTGTTTTTGTTGTTGTATTCTTTAATTTGCTGTTTAGTTGTCTGTAGTAATTTCACAGTCACTCTTGGTGGTGTGAGTAAGCTGGTGTCACTGTGTGTGAGTGTGTGTATTTTGGTTTTCAGTGGAAATGGTTTCCTTTTATTTTTCAATTTTTATTTTATGTTCGCTACCAGAAGAAACCTCTAACAAAGTGAATGTTCGAAACTCGACTGAAGCAACGGAAGCTTTTGCCCAACTTAATATAGCCTCTGCTTTCGGGGATTCTATGTTTTTTTTGTTATTTTCCATTAGAGTCAGAAAAGTAAAGGACGAACGGAAAATTGTTGCTGCTTTTATGACTTGGTGAGCCACGTTGTTTTTGGGTTTGGGAGGGTAAGTCACACCTGTTTTTCTCATTCAAAGAATTTCACTGTGTTTAATGTCGAAATTTTGAGCTTTTACTCAAATGATAGAGTTGCCATATGATATTCTTATGGAGAACAGCAAGGACATTTTATAAAAGTCTTGGCGGAGCGGAAACCAGATGGTCTTCTCTCATAGAAGACAAGAAGGTCTTCACTCATAGAAGACAACAAGGTCTTCTCTCATAGAAAACCAGAAGGTCTTCTCATAGAAGACCAGAAGAAGGTCATCTCATAGAAGACCAGAAGAAGGTCTCCTCATAGAAGAACTGAAGGTCGTCTCATAGAAGAGCTGAAGGTCGTCTCATAGAAGAGCTGAAGGTCGTCTCATAGAAGAGCTGAAGGTCGTCTCATAGAAGAGCTGAAGGTCGTCTCATAGAAGAGCTGAAGGTCTTCTCATAGAAGACCAGAAGAAGGTCTTCTCATAGAAGACCAGAAGAAGGTCTTCTCATAGAAGACCAGAAGAAGGTCTTCTCATAGAAGAGCTGAAGGTCTTCTCATAGAAGAGCTGAAGGTCTTCTCATAGAAGAACTGAAGGTCTTCTCATAGAAGAGCTGAAGGTCTTCTCATAGAAGAACTGAAGGTCTTCTCATAGAAGAGCTGAAGGTCTTCTCATAGAAGAGCTGAAGAAGGCCTTCTCATAGAAGAACTGAAGGTCTTCTCATAGAAGAGCTGAAGGTCTTCTCATAGAAGAGCTGAAGGTCTTCTCATAGAAGAGCTGAAGGTCTTCTCATAGAAGAGCTGAAGGTCTTCTCATAGAAGAGCTGAAGGTCTTCTCATAGAAGAGCTGAAGAAGGCCTTCTCATAGAAGACCAGAAGAAGGCCTTCTCATAGAAGACCAGAAGAAGGCCTTCTCATAGAAGACCAGAAGAAGGCCTTCTCATAGAAGACCAGAAGAAGGCCTTCTCATAGAAGACCAGAAGAAGGTCTTCTCATAGAAGACCAGAAGAAGGTCTTCTCATAGAAGACCAGAAGAAGGCCTTCTCATAGAAGACCAGAAGAAGGTCTTCTCATAGAAGACCAGAAGAAGGTCTTCTCATAGAAGACCAGAAGAAGGTCTTCTCATAGAAGACCAGAAGAAGGTCTTCTCATAGAAGACCAGAACAAGGTCTTCTCATAGAAGACCAGAACAAGGTCTTCTCATAGAAGACCAGAACAAGGTCTTCTCATAGAAGACCAGAACAAGGTCTTCTCATAGAAGACCAGAACAAGGTCTTCTCATAGAAGACCAGAAGAAGGTCTTCTCATAGAAGACCAGAAGAAGGTCTTCTCATAGAAGACCAGAAGAAGGTCTTCTTATAGAAGACCAGAAGAAGGTCTTCTCATAGAAAACAAGAAGAAGGTCTTCTCATAGAAGACAAGAAGAAGGTCTTCTCATAGAAGACAAGAAGAAGGTCTTCTCATAGAAGACAAGAAGAAGGTCTTCTCATAGAAGACAAGAAGAAGGTCTTCTCATAGAAGACAAGAAGAAGGTCTTCTCATAGAAGACCAGAAAAGGACCTAGAGAAGGCCTTCTTCTCATAAAAGACCTGGAGAAGGTCTCCTCTCATAGACGACTTGGAGATGTTCTTTCACAGAAGACCAAGAGATTTACATTTCATAGAAGACCTGGAGAAGGTTTTCTCTCATAGAAGACATGGAGAAGAGTTTATCTCATAGAAGGCATGGAGAAGATCTTCTCTCATAGAAGACCTGTAGAAGGTTTTCTTCTCATTGAAGACCAGGAGAAGGTCTTCTTCTCATAGAAGACCGGGAGGTGGTCTTTTCATAGAAAACCAAGAGATTGTCTTCTCATAGAAGACCTGGAAAAAGTCTTCTATCATAGAAGACCTGGAGAAGCTCCTCATCTCATAGAAGGCCTGAAGAAGGTCTTCTTATCATAGAGTACCTGGAGGAGGTTTTTTCTTCTCATTGAAGACCTGGGTAAGGTCTTCTTCTATAGAAGAACTGTGGAAGGTCTTCTTCTCAAAGAAGACCTGAAGAAGGTCTTGTCTCATAGAAGACCTGGAGAAGGTCTTCTTCTCATCGAAGCCCTGGAGAAGGTCTTCGCTCATAGAAGACCTGGAGAAGGGCTTCTTCTCATAGAAGACCAAGAGGTTGTTTTTCATGCGAGACCTGGAGAATGTCTTCTTTTATAGAAAACCTAGAGAAAGTCTTCTTCTCAGAGAAGACCTGGAGAAGGTCTTCTTCTCATAGAAGACCAAGAGATTGTGTTTTCTGAGAAGTCTTGGAAAAGGTCTTCCCTCATAGAAGACCTGGAAAAGGTCTTCTCTCATAGGAAACCTAGGGAAGGTCTCCTCTCATAAAAGACATGTAGAAGGTCTTCTCTCATAGAAAACCTGGAGAAGGTCTTCTCATAGAAATCCAGAGTAGGACTTTTCATCGAACACCAATATGGTTACTGAATATTAGTCAGCCAAATATCCGTAGTGGTAACCCTTTGTTATATATTACTCTTCATTTCTCTCTCGCTTTCTCTCTTGCTGTGTAATTAGTCCTCATCCAACCCCACTATTCGGCTGTGTCTCTCTCACAACTTTCCCTTAGTTTGTTGCTGCTTTCCAACTCCTACGCACAATTTTGGAACATTGTGACATTTAAAAAAGAGAAGCAAACAAACAACAACTCTCCTCTCTCCGTGTCCCCTTTCCATAGGCTATGTTTTCCTTATTGTGTTGTCCGCTGTAACTTAATTGAGCAGAACAACAAGTTGTTTGTTTGCTCGTCAGGTTTGCTGTTCTTCTTCTACTTTTCTTTTCGTTCCTCACCATTAATCACCGCTGATGTTTTCCCTAAAAATGCAATCCGTATCCGTGTCCTTCCATCTGATTTCCCTTTAGACTTCGCAGCTATCTTCTTGCCCAAAATTATGTTGACATTAAGACTGTGGGCGAATTGTGTGATGAATGTGGCCAATACCAAATCATCTGGGGAACCCACGCAAAATTCTCACATCGAAATGCTCTCAATAAGGACCACCTCCAATGCAATTGCCATGGCACCCACGCGAAATGGGGAAGATTATTTTTGTTTTGAGAAATGGAAATCGTTCGGTATTTACTTGGCAAATGAGTTGCTCATGTGGATAATTTCAATTTATTGCATTTTTAATTTTCGTTCTTATTAGAGGGGGTGGTTAGGGAGGGGAAGGGAGGAGTGCGAATGATTGTCGCCATACTTAGTAGGTTCTTAAAATTCTTAAGTAATGGTGTTACTTTAATGAATATGTTAAGTATATTAATGACGTAAATATGTTGTAACTTCATTAGAAAAATTATAAAAAACGGATTAAGTCAAAATAATTTAAATAAAAACAAGTAAAAACATTAAATTTGGACGGGCCGAACTTAGAGGGGAAACCTCTATAGACAATTTTATGTTACAAAGATTGTCATCTATTAAATCTTATAAAATACCGAATTTGAAACAATTTCATGGGTAAATGTGGCTAGGATTATCAAAATACCGAATATCGTTGGGTAATGTTATATGTGCGCTTTAGGAAAACGTGGACCTAAATATTCAATGTTCTGCTCCCAGAGCTAGAACCCATTACGAACTACAAATACCAATTTTTGGACAAACCCGTGGAAAAATGTAGCAAAAATTATCAAAATACCGAATATCGGGAGGTACCGTAATATGAGGGCTATATAAAAATGTGGACTTATACATACAATGTTACGCTACCGAAGATATAGCCCACCTACAAATTCCAATTTTTAGACAAATCCATGGAAAAATGTGGCGAAAATCATCAAAATACTGAATATCGGGAAGTTCTGTTATATGGAGGCTCTTCGTAAACATATGTATACAACCGGAGCCACCGGAGCTAGAACCCATTATGACCTACAAATATCAACTTTTAGACAAATCGGTGAAAATATGGCAAAAATCATTAAAATACCGATAATAACGATATATCTCATTTTCAATACCAACCATCCTAGACAAAATACAAATTAATCTCCGAATTTTATGCTAATTATTAATATATATACTGTATGGGGTATACCACGAATATTTAGGGATTTTACAACCGCAATGACAATGTTAATATACCCTCCTTATCAAGGTGGAGGGTATAAAAATCTATCTAATTTAGGCTGATATTACATATATGGTGAACAATAACCATAGAATAGGATGAAGCTGTATATCGAAGCTATATACAAACCTGAACCGATCTCGAGACCGGTGTCAGTGCTTGTGGAGTAAATATTACACATGTCAGGACAAATACAGGGTGAGATGAAAAAACTGTAACAAACTTCAGACTGTTGTCATTTCTAAGCCACTCGTCCGACATTATTCCAGTGACAGCTCATTATATTTTTTACAAGCGTACTAAAACATTTAGGTGAGAATTTTCCGGCTGGAAAACCAGAAGTGTATATCGTTAGAGCGCTCCAGCATATAAATGTGAACAAATCTTTTGTGTCTCGTAGCATCGCTCATTACCGGGATAGAGGTTGCATGAAGGAAGAGGACGGAAGAAAACAGCAACATCAACAGAAATGGTTGGAAACGTGAAGAAGCGACTTGAACCCGTGTCGCAGTGGTCGAAAAATGGTTCATGAGCTGAACATATCGCAATATTTCATTCGGCAAATATCGAAAAATAAACTCGGGGTAAAGCCATTGAAATCCCAAAAGGTGCAAAAACTTACACCGCCACAGAAAGAAAATAAACTCAAAATAGCTAAAGAGTTGCTTCGCTTCGCCGAAAGTGGTGAACTGTCGAATTTGGTTTTCTCCTATGAGAAAACATTCGTTGTTCAGCAGTTTGTT